AAGTGTTTAGTGCTCTAGATTATATTTTCTTTTTGTACGGTGGCTTTCCGTTGAGAACTGAATGTGCGAATAGAAAGATGTCTACAGCAGTTAAATGAAAACATATAGTAAGCAGGTGGTAATATATACTGATATATATGAAATGAAAAATACTCTGGGGAAGTATGGGAAGAGGAAATGTATGGAATATATAAAAGAAATACTGGACTGGAAATTGACATGAAAAAAATCCAGAAAATGGTACTTCCAGACCAATTCAAAATCACTACATCACTATACTGTTCACTTAACATTGACAGGTCTGTTAACTTAATCATGTAGACACGCTTTTAGAAAAGGCAAGAGAACTACAGAATACGAGAAACTGGTACGAAGGAAATAAAAGAAGAGGAGGAGAAGAAGGAGACGATAATATAGCGAAGATAACCCACTGGAAAATATGTGAGGATCTAACGCTGGACAGGACCATTATCGGCACCAAGCGAGGAGGCGCAGAACCTGACAGTCAGGAGGGCCATCGAGAACACGCGGCCGGATGCTGTTATCGTAAAGAAAGGGGGAAATCCGTGAGAACAGAACGCAAATGCAAACAAAGCAAAGAGCGTATGAAGATGATATAAAACACAGCCAGAATAGGAAAAGACACATGGTATAGAACACATCTAGAATATTACACGTGCTAAAACACAGCAAGAATAGGAAAAAAACACATGCTATAAAACACAGCAAGAATAGGAAAAAAACACGTGCTATAAAACACAGCAAGAATAGAAAAGACATGGTATAAAACACATCTAGAATAGGAAAAGACACGTGCTATAAACCACAGCCAGAATAGCAAAAGACACGTGCTATAAAACACAGTCAGAAAAGCAAAAACACGCTATAAACACAGTATACTATAAACCACAGCCAGAATAGCAAAAGACACGTGCTATAAAACATATCTCCAGGAAAAAACACAGATTTCAACGTTTCGGAACCAAACTCGACTCCTCATCGTTCCTGTCTCAACGTACCTGTTTTTCACTCAAACTCGATTAAGTTCAGAAACATACTTGGAGACAAAAAATAAACATAAAGATAATGAAAATGTTTTAAAGGAATTAAATCCTCAGGTAAGAATTAACAGCAACATAAGAAATAAGGAAAGTTGAAGAGATGCCAGCTATATTCGCAACGTTAGGACGGTTATTGGAAATATAACTGGATAGTTAAAGAAAATAGAAATGATGTTCTTGGAAATATAGCTGGATAGTTCCCTCCCTCTCTTCCTCTCTCTCCCTAGAAATGACGATGTTTTTCCTAATGGCTGTATCGCTTGGTACTGTTGGAATATCATTCGAACATTTAAAGACCTCAGAAAACTTTACAGATGTTTCAGAACTGTGAATGAGGCTTGAGTTCAGTGTGGGATAACATAACCGTGACTTAGATTTCCAATAATGAACATGACAATATGATGAGAACATCAATGTTCACCAGATAATAAAAATGATAGAGATGGCAATGATATAGATAATACAAGCATTGCCAATGATAATGACGATGGTAATGGGAATAGTGATAATGATAACAACAAAAATAATAGTGATTTCGATAATAATAACGATAATGATGAAGATAACAATAATAACCATAATAGTAATTACGACAATGATAAGTATAATGATAATAACAACAACAACAAGAACAGTTACAAAAACATTAATGATAACAATAATAATCATAATAATGGTAATGACAATAATGATACTACTAATGAGGATTATGATAATAATATAGATAGTAATAACAATACTAACAATGCTAATATTAATAATAACAATACTAATGATATTGAAAATAATGATATTGAAAATAATGGCAGCAATGATAATAATAATAATAACAATAATGATGATACCAACAGTTAGCATAATGATAGTATGAAAATTACAATATTAGAAATAATAGTAATAAGAATAGACAAAAAACAACATCAGAACAATAACAAAAATATCAGCAACAATAACAACATGGAAGTAACAAAATAACAACAGCCACAACTAAGGTAATAAAAATAGCAACGATAATAGTAACAAAGCAACAAGAACAATGAGGACAATATTAGCGATGAGAATCATTATAACAATGACAATGGGACAACAAAAAAATCTTGGTGATTATGACTCCACTATAAAGCGATATTAAGACCTGAATCCTCACGTAATCCTGATCTCGCGTGTTTGAGTGACGTCATCCCTACCTCGAATGACGTCAATCAATCTAAATTGAGGCGTGACGTATACTGAACGACGGAGGTATAGAGGTGGAAGGTTGTTTACTGACCTGCCCGACTTCCTTGGTTGACCTGTGTTAGAGCGTTAATATTTTGTGCAGAAGTATTTGCATATTAGGCTTTTAAGCAAGAGGAAATAAATGAAGACACAAATACAATCTCGTACGTATATAAATACACAAATATATATATATATATATATATATATATATATATATA